GCCCACCAATGGCAGCCCCACCTTCTTCGAGGACTTCCAGGCTTTCTGTGCCACACCGGAGTGGCGCCACTTCATCGACAAGCAGGTGCCCAGAGGCAGGGGCCCGGGAAGAGGAGGGGGCCCGGGAAGAGGAGGGGGCCCGGGGCGCCCATCCAGCACCGTCTCCTCCCTGCCCAATGCTCCAGGTGCAGCCTACCATGTCGCAGTTCGAAATGGACACGTACGCCAAGAGCCACGACCTCATGTCAGGTTTCTGGAACGCCTGCTATGACATGCTCATGAGCAGTGGGCAGCAGCGCCAGCGGGAGCGCGCCCAGAGCCGTCGGGCCTTCCAGGTGTGTGCCCGCAGTGGGGTTGGGGATGGGGACCCGCTCCACACCTGCGCCCGGGGGTGGTGGAGAAACCTGGGCAGCGCCCACAGCCGCTCGAATAATGACCGCCCTCGACTTCCTCTTCCCAGGAGCTGGTGCTGGAACCTGCGCAGCGGCGCGCACGCCTGGAGGGGTTACGCTACTCCGCGGCGCTGAAACAGCAGGCAGCGCAGCACTCGACTGCCTTGCTGCACTGGGGGGCGCTGTGGCGCCAGCTCTCCAGCCCCTGTGGGGCCTGGGCGCTGAGGTGAGCAGGGCTCCAGGGGGCGGGGCCTAGGTGCTGAGATGGACAGGGCTCCAGGGGGCGGGGCCTGGGCGCTGAGAGGGACAAGACTCCAGGGAGAGGGGCCTGGGCGCTTAGAGGGGGCAGGGCTCCAGGAGTGGTGGCATCTGGGAGAAAGCAGTGTGCCCACAGCCTTTTATACTCTCGTCCCCTACACCCTCTCACCTCTGTGACCACCACTGGTCACTTTCGTGCAGAGACACCCCCACTCCCCACTGGAAGCTGTCCAGCGCTGAGACGTACTCGCGCATGCGTCTGAAGTTGGTGCCCAATCATCACTTCGACTCTCACATGGAAGCCAGCGCCCTGCGGGACAATCTGGGTGAGCGGGTATGCTGAGCGAGGTTCACCAACCCGAATGTGCATCCCGGTTAGCTCTGGCTGAATGCTCTTGGTTCTTTGCAGGTGAGGCCCCCCTGACACCCACCGAGGAGGCCTCGTTGCCCCTGGCAGTGACCAAAGAAGCCAAAGTGAGCATCCCACCTGAGGAGCTGCAGGAAGACCAGCTGGGAGATGAGGAGCTGGCGGCCCTGGAGACTGCGTGAGTGGGGCTGGAGCCGTCAGGCCACCACCCAATCTGTTCCAGCACGTGCACACCTGCTAGGGATTGAGCCCCTGGGCCCTGGTTCTGCTGCCCCACTTCAGTCCCCTGAAAGGCTGTCCAAAATCAGGTGGTCTGGGTGACAATCTTCAAACAGGGGTGGTTGTCACGCTTTAATGACTAGGCACCCCAGAGCAGGACTGAGGGATGCAAGCCAGGGTGGGGGCCTGGGTGCAGGGGCACAGGGGACAGAGGTTGGAACCCTCTGGTGGGTATACAGACACCTAGGTGGGTAGGGGGCTGGAGCTGGGTCCAATGGGTGCCTGCCTTAGGCAGCTCCTCCCTCTCTGGGCGACATGAATGCACCTACCTCATCACTCGATGGCACTTGGAGAGTGTGGCCCTTGGGCTCCTCAGGAAGGGAGCTGCAGGCCTGGAGTCTGAACAGGTCCTGGTCCCCAGGATGGAGGCAACGGAACTGGATGAGCAGCGTGAGAAACTGGTGCTGTCAGCCGAATGCCAGCAGGTCACGGTGGTGGCTGTGGTGCCGGGGCTGCTGGAGGTCACCACCCCTGGTCACGGTGGTGGCCGTGGTGCCGGGGCTGCTGGAGGTCACCACCCAGCACGTGTACTTCTACGACGGCAGCACGGAGCGCGTAGAAACCGAGGAGGGTTCGTCCCTATGGGCAGGCTGGGGGCATGGCAGGCAACGCTGTGCTCTGGTGGGGTCTGAGCGCTTAACACCCCGCACGTCCCCGCAGGCATCGGCCACGACTTCCGGCGGCCCCTGGCCCAGCTGCGTGAGGTCCACCTGCGCCGTTTCAACCTGCGCCGCTCTGCGCTTGAGCTCTTCTTCATCGACCAGGCCAACTACTTCCTCAACTTCCCTTGCAAGGTGGTGGGGACCCCCGCATCTCCCTGCCAGGGTTCCAGGCCCCCGCCCTGCCCCGTCCCACCCCACACCCAGGTACGGAACCAGGTGTACTCGTGGCTCCTGCGCCTGCGGCCCCCCACCCAAGGGTACTTGAGCAGTCGCTCCCCCCAGGAGATGCTGCGTGCCTCAGGCCTTACCCAGGTGAGAGCCCCGGAGTGAGGGGGTTGTGAGGGCAGGACCCCCAGGCTGAGGAAGTGCCAGGGCCGCCCAACAGGCTCACCTGTTACCTGCCCTGGTCCCCAGAAATGGGTACAGCGTGAAATATCCAACTTTGAGTACTTGATGCAACTGAACACCATCGCGGGGCGGACCTACAACGACCTGTCTCAGTACCCGGTGGTGAGGCCCTACTCTGCACCCCCCCACCCTGTCACCCAGTGTAGGCACCTGCTGGTGGGCATGGTCCTCAGCTTGGTCCTGGGTAGGCTGGCCCTGTTCCCTGACAGCCCCACACTTCCACAGCCCCCTTCCCTCCTGGCCCCTGCTTCCCCTAGAGGAGTCTCAGGACTGTGCCCTGTCTCCCTGCACCCCCACGCCCAGCATGCCCCTGGCCTGTGGGCCTGGGCCATCTTCCTGAGGGTGAGCACAGGGTGGGGGCAGGTAAGCCACCAGGGCCCTCATGCAGCCCCTGCCTGGGTGGGCGGCCAGTTCCCCTGGGTCTTGCAGGACTATGTGTCCCCAACCCTGGACCTCAGCAACCCAGCCGTCTTCCGGGACCTGTCCAAGCCCATCGGTGTGGTGAACCCCAAGCACGCCCAGCTCGTGAGAGAGAAGTGAGCAGCAGGCGGGGCCTGGCTTTCTGGGCAGGTGGGCCGGGGAGGGGTGGGCTTCTGCTGACTGCCCTCCCCTGGCGGCAGGTATGAGAGCTTTGAGGACCCCGCGGGCACCATTGACAAGTTCCACTACGGCACCCACTACTCCAAT